AAGAGAAGAGGCTCGGATGTCTCCGCAGCGTCCCACGCAGGGCACGGGCATCAGTGCATGTCGGCAAAGCTGGCCCGATGACGCTTCCGCTCGTGTTGGTGGGAACGGGAACGGGGCCAGGCGAGCTGAGCCGGTGAGGGTTGGATCCTCACGCGCTTCTTCCTCAAGTTGAAGGATCTGGTGGGCGCCGCGAGGATCTGGTGGCTGAGCCGCGAGAGGAGGGAACAGGAGGGGGGGCAGAAGAGGAAAAGACAGGAAACGAAACGAAAGGAAAAGAAAAAAAAAGTAAAGTAAAGAAACGAAAAGAAAAGAAAGCGAGAGAGGAAGGAAGGAAGGAAGGAAAAACAAAAGGAGAGAGGAAAAGGAAAGGTGAAAGAAGGCAACAGACGACCAGCGGAATATTGTACCATCTATCAGCTCCAGCAGCCCTGATCTCAGCACCTCCCTCCCTACACAGTGGTGGCCCAAAGCAGCCTTCGGGATGTACTGGCGGAGCCTTTAATTTCCCACCTCTCTGTATCTCCAAAGGTGATCCTGGGACATAGCCCAGGAGGACCCTGCCTCTTCTTTCTTTGAGCAAAAGAAGCTAGGCGCGCCATGGAGTTTCGAAAAGAGGAGTTCAAGAAGTTGACTGCAAGGACCCTGGGGCAACTAAACAGGTAAGAACTGGACTCTTTCTCTTCCCCCCCCCCCGTGTATGTGAAAAGCTAGTGGGTCAGGAAGACTTCGGGACCCTGCTTCATTTGGGCCACCATCCATATGACATGTGTTTGTGTGAATTGCCCCTAGATGGGAGGTCAAATTTCCTTGAGATGGATTGGTATCCATATTTTAGTTTGTGGTGTGTCTATTCTGTGAATTCCATACACAGTTATGTTCTCACTCTGTAAAACACACAAGGGCACATATCCTTGTTTGGCTGCTGTGACCTGACACGCGCACAGCAGCACACTCAGAAGTGTACCTTCACGTCTTCACTCACTCAGATTTGTGCACCTGCTCCCAAATCACCACCTCAGCCTAAGGTGTCTGGTCTCAAAATAGCCTGCTAATTGTCTTGTTCATGCAGCCATGAGAAATAGTGTGATAACGAGGGTTGAAGGGTTGCCTTAAGAACAGGGAGAAATATCAGTTCAAAACCCATAGGCAGCCACAAGGTTTATCAGATGCAGCCACTCTCTCTGCCTTTAACCTACTTCACAGGTTTGTTGTGTAGGGTTTGAAAAGAAGATGGGGAAATCATGCTTATACTATCTTGAGCTCTCTGGAGGAAGCGTAGGATAAAAATGTTGTATAACTTCCCCCACCCTCCAAATACTTGTGCACTCAGATGCCAAGGGCTGTACACATGGTCACAGTCTGAGTTTTTTTAGACATCTTAAACAATTTTCCACCATGCAATTCAAAATTATGAGAAACACTTTCCTTATTTCTTATTTTGAGTACCTATCATCTTCAGGACTGTCCTGTCTACTCTCTGCCTTCCACCCAGTTTATTTTTATCTCTCTCTCTCTCTCTCTTGTTCTTCGAATAGTTTCTTAGCCACAAACCTGGACTTCAGTGTATTTTCGTATCACTGTGTTCCATTTGCTTGCTTGAGATATACGTGGAGAACAGTTTTGTTTATTCACTATTATCTTTACAAATTGTATTTAATATATCCCATGTATTCTACAACCTACCACCCCTATGCTTTTGGATTTACCTTGTCAGCAGCTACCACCCATTGCATGTTAGGTCATCAGGAAATCAGTGGGGTGGCAGGCGGGTGGGGGGTTGAGAGGTGAATGCTATCAAAACAAGAGGAGAGAATATTTCCATTTTTAACCTTCATCCATTCATCCTCCCCTCTGCCCAGACAGTAATCTTTCCTCTCCACAACACACACACACACACACACACAAAACTCCCCTTAAATGTTTTGCTAGCCTGAATACTAAATGTTCTTTCCCTTGATTAAATTTCCTCCACAAGCACAGCAAAAATAAAAGTGTTCCTGGGAAGTCAGATCCCTGAATGAGGTTTTTTTTAAAGAGAGAGAAAGAAAGAAAGAAAGAAAGAAAGAAAGAAAGAAAGAAAGAAAGAAAGAAAGAAAGAAAGAAAGAAAGAAAGACCAACCAATGAGATCAGGGTGGGTGTGGGTAGAGCAATGCAGGCGATTATATCAAACCCATATTATCTCTTTAAGCCTGTAGGCCAAGGGGCAGGATTCAGAGTGGTTGCCAAGCCCCAGAGTGGGAGATAGAGCAGGTGGGAAGGAGAGTAGGTGGGGGGGCCTGTGAACATTGAAGGATTTGGTGACCAGATTCTTAGTGCTGTGACAAAACCCTAAAGGGTAGTCACTTAGGTCTATATAGGCTCCATAGGCACAATTAAAGGGGACAAGATCCAAGCAAGGAAGACACGGCACTTGTGGGGGACAATAAAGCCTGGTGCATCTCCCCCTCCCCTTTGGATGGGGCTTGCCACATTTTCACACCCCAAACCTTGTCAAATTTAGGCTCTCCAAGGATCCAGCAGGTCACACAAGACTCTGGTTGCTGCAGACAGAAGATGGTGGCTGTCCTGAAAAACGAAAAGCAAAACAAAAGACAACAAGCAAAGCAAGCAAAAATAAAACTAGAAACCAAATCACAGCCCACCTGCCAAATGGGGTTGGGGTTGGTGGCCATGCAAAATTGCTTTACATAACTGGCATTTATTTCGGTTTGAAATGTGCACCGTCATGGAAGAACTTCATAAAATATTCACCAGAGTTATAAGTGGCTCTGCTGACATCTTTCTCTCACTCGCATTCTTCTCTTCCCCCCTCCACTTTCTCTCTCTCTCTCTCTCTAAACCACATGGGTTTATATATATTCTGTTATTCTTTATGTATTTGGCTGAGATGGCTAGCTGCACAGATAGGAGAAACAGACTTTACGCCCCAGCAACATGGACGCCTGCAGAAAACAGAAGGCATGTCTCTAAGGATGTCTAAGGATTAGAGAGGTCCCAGCTGAGTGAAATGGAGATATGCAGCCATGTCTATGCGGCGAATTGCACGCTCACCCTGTGCAAGGGCAGATTCTCATCTTATATGCGGAATGCAGCACTGTTTAAATGTTTCATTAAAACAAAACAAAACATGGAGGCCAAGTTTCTAGACCTCATGGCTGAGAAAAGTGGGCCTGAAAAACACAGAGTGAAAATCCTGGATGTTAGAAACTCGCTAAGGAGAATTTTCAAAGGTTGGGACATGTCTCATACTGGTGGCAGCTGACATAATTGTGCAAAAGATATGGAAGCATGCTTGTTTTGTGTGCTAATATATTGAAGCTCCAGAACCTTATTTTTCCTCCAGTGGAATTTAATTTGCCTCTGTCAGATGCTTTTAAATCTTAGATGCTACATCTATCCCTGCAGAGAATCCATTTACACCTAGTCCTTTACGGGCTGATTGTGAAACGCAATGTACATAAGTGAGTGCATAGGATAAAGACCTGAGTTACCACAGGATGTGTACTAGTGTGAGTTGGCACATACTTGTGATGGCCCTTATTGCTACCCACAGCTAAAATGCACAGCTCAGGGCACTTTGATGAAACTGACTGCATAGGGTTGAGCCATAGTTTCTCTTAGAGAACTGGGAGATATAGAGGGAAGGAGAGACACAGAACGGCCAGTCGGCTTTCAAGAGCAATGAGTTTAGAAGAATGGCTTACAATATATGGGTGAGATAAAGTCTCAATTCTAACCAGACTTCTTCCTGATGTCATCATCATCATCATCTTAGAATTACGGAGCTGGAAGGGACTCCATGGATCATCAAGTCCAGCCCCTGTCAAGGAGGCCCAGTGAGGAATCGAACTCCCAACCTCTGGCTCCAGAGCCAGAGACCTAAACCACTGAGTTCAGTGTAGCACTTCCTTTCACAGAGTCTCCAGAACTGGTTCCTTCATTTATCTGCTCCATGTGTCTCCTGCCTTAATGAGCTCACAGCAATGTTTATGGCATTCCTCCCTGCCCTCAAATCATCTGCACAACAACCCTGTGAGGTAGGCCAGCTTCTGAGGTAATGGCTTGGCCCAGTCAGTGTCATGGTTCAGTGGGGATAAGAACCTAGTTCGGAGTCCGTAGCCAGCACGGACACTGCGCTTGATCTCTCATCTACCTGAAATCCAACTCAAAGGCTGCCCACAGGAGAGTTTTCAGGAGATGGAGAATAGTGACTCTTTCTGTTGGTGATGATCATGACAGTCTGCTTCCAGAAAGCCTTTACAGAAGGAGATTGGGTCGTAACAGAGGATCCCTTGGTGGGGGTGGGGTTGGAGGTTCATGTTGGAGGAACAGCAGCTGACACTAGCTATTATGAGTCAGTTTGGCAGTGGCAGAGGGTTCTCGCTTCATGCCCCCCCTTTTCTTAAATATCCGTCTCCTGCAAATGAGGAGGCAGCCCTAACTTTGGTCAAGAGCTTAAGAGACTTCCAGTGTGACAACTGTTCGCTTGTTGTAACAAGTTTTCCCGGCTCTCTTAGGGTTCATTCTCAAGTATCTGTGTGAATTTGTTTGGTGCATGGTTAAGGTATAAAAACATTAAAAGAGTCTGGCTGAAACAGAGTCAGACCAAAGGCCTGTCTGGCCAAGGATTCCTTTTCCGCAATGACCAACCAGATGCCTTCGGGAAGCCAATTGCAGGACATGAGCAGAAGATCCATCTCTGTTCATGTCCCCATAACTGGAATGGGGATAATATTAACCTTCGAACTGCAGAGCAGGAAGAGACCCTATGGATTGCTGAGTCCAGCACCTTTTAAGGAAGCACAGTGGGGAATCAAACTCCCAACCTCTGACTATGCAGCCAGAGACCTAAGTCACTGTTCCTGCCTTCCATAACTGAAACTAATGTACATCCGTTGATCATCTTACCTTCTATCCATGTATCTCCATATAATTAATGAAAGACTCTTATGGCACTTTAAAGTGGGCTGGAATCCATAAAAGCTTATGCCAGCTAATCTTTGTTAGACTTTCAGAGTGGCACAAGGTTATTGCTTTTGGCTGCAACAGATTAACACGGCTGCACTTTCTTCCCACTCTGGAATTTTTGCAATGGGGTTCATAGCCATAGAGCATTCTTCTTTCACTTGCCTGGGGGATTATGAGTGCTGTAGGCCACCATCTCTGGAGGGCAGAGGGATGATGGGGGTCAGATGAACAATCATACCACAAAAGAGGTGACACGCTGGAAAAGATGGTTAGAGTAGGACGACACAGCATCTTATATCTGGAAGTTTTTCAAGAGAAGGCTGTGCTAGTCTAATGTTTTGACTGGATTAATTTGAGTGGGTTTGATTCATGAGGTGGGAAGACTGACTGGATTCAATCACAATTGTTGACTCCAATTTCTGTGGTGTGGTAACTCCAATCCAGATTTTAGTCTACACTCTACAAGATGTTGAACCTATTTTGGGGATAGGCTCAGAACCTCTGATAATGTCTTTAAAGTGAAGACTAAAACCTGGAGCAGATTCATATTACTGCTGAAACTGGAGTCATCAGCCACCAGTGGCTTGATCAGAAGTGCTCAGCTGGCCTGAGCTGGGATTCATGACTTCTATGTGCTACAGGTTCCAGAGTCTCCCAGCCAGCAACATTTCCAACCCTTTCAATTGGTGA